CAATCCCAAAAGAGGTCTTTCTACCGCTGTGAAAGTCTTCAACTTCTTCAGAGCCAAGAGCTCGAATTAGTGCCTTTTCAGTAGATCTTTGTTAAGATACAAGAGCACACCATGAGCTTCTTTCCTTTTGGAGAAGTTTGTGGACAATCCAGAGAAGAGATTTACATGTGATTTAGTTTGGTTAATTTTTTACAATTTTTTAAGAGAAAAAAAAAACTCCTTCTTAGAATAACTTGATGGTGAGAAATTCCAGGGCTGGCTCTCTAATGGCTGATATCTTAGGCACATAAATTAAACAAATCTTTTGATTGAAAATGCTGAAGTTACTATTAGAGATCCTGCCAAAAAACTATAAGCTTTTTTTTTTTTTTTTTTTTTTTTTTTGCCAAGCAGGTACTCTAAATGAGGTGACTGAAGTCAAATAACAATATGGATTTTCCAACACTGAAAGTGAGACTGGTGAAGTCCTGAGTTTCTGGGGACAAAAATTAACAGACACTTGGCAAGTGGCTTATCTCTCATGAAGGTCACTTTTTGTTCAGACAGCCTTAAAATGGAAACAAATTGCTGACATAGATAGCCTTGCCTTGATGATCTAAGCCTAACAAAGATGACCTCATTGACTTGAGGACAAAGGAAATGACCTCTTACAAATTTAAGTTGAAAATTTTGGTAATTCTTGATTCATGCTGACCCATCAAAGATACTGTGTGGTACTGGAGCGCCAACACCACTTGCTGGTAGAGACTTTGTGAATCAGGATCTTTCCTGTTACTGGCATTAAAATGAAATGCTGACATTGATGCAATATGAAATATTTCAATTCCTTAATCTAAAAAAACTACAAAAGCCTTTTCACGAGAGTGAGAAAACCATACCTTTCTGTGAATGCTGTTTTGGTATTCTGACTATGCATAGGAGCTCAAATTTCCAATCCAATGAGATAAAAAGTAAGCACCTATTTTGTGTGTATGTGTTTATGAGTATTGTTCTAGGGTGCTGCTTGTAAGTGAATTAGATTCTCAGAGGGTTCTATAGCTCAAAAAATTAAAAATAAAAAAAGGAAAGAATGATTAAGGCAGGGGATGAGCTGATCGGGCAACATGCCCCTGTTTAGTGGGGTTCCTCGGCACTCGCTTTGTGGGAGTTCTGTGATATAATTAGCTGTTAGCTTTTCTCGCTTCACTTTGCTGAGCAGTGCAGACCAGGGTTGGCTCTGTCACTCACATGACATGAGTTAAAGATACACACATGAAAAACTTTGTGGCTCAGAACGTGGCTGACAGTGAATGCAGCAGAACAGGACAGGGGAGCAGCAGAAGCAGGAAGCCTGCTTATTTGTTTCCCTCAGGTTATTAAAACCAGCCCTGGTCTAAGGAGCAGGGAGAAGTGGACTGGAGTTTAATATAAAGTTCTACTCGTAATAAAATTAGTGTAGCACCAATATACAAATACTATAGGGAAGCTGTTTCAACTATAGCTTATTCTCAGCGTGACTTCCTGCTTTCTATTTTGCTAATTAATTCAGAATTGTGGTGAGGTCTCCAGGTGTTCTCAAGGAGAATGGCTGATTACGGATGCCTGGGTATCGGGCGGCAGAGGCATTGTGTGCAAGTACAGTCATGACATGTTATTTTCAACCCTCTCTCGTTCTGAAGAGGTGACACTATTATAGGATAACATGTGCGAACACTTATTCAAAGTGATACATCCCAGTGTGAGCTGTCATGTAGTATAGTGCTTTATGCCTTTCTTTTCCTTGCTGGGTTGATGATATGAAAAATGTTCTAATGCAATTGAAAGGTTCTTGAGTTCACCAAAGCAAAGGTCCATTCATTTGCGTCTGAGAGTTTGTAAGTCAGCCATCTAAAAGAGCGAATATAGACTTGTTCTCAAATTTTCACATTCTGAAATTTTCCATTTCCTGTTAAGGCCTCTAAGAAGAATAACCAACTAAAATGGTATGGATTTGATATGGTTGAAAGGAAGATATACAGTCATGTAACTTCTGACAAAGCTGGTGAAAATAGTGCCTGTCTATTTAACCTTAACGGAGGCCTACGAAAGTGTGTGCAGATACAGTCTCCAGTCTGCGATGTTTGGGGACATTCTTGAAGTCGTCAGTGAAACTGCTAGGGTGGATTGCGTAGTGGGGCATATATATCTTTAAAGATGGCATAGACCTGGTACTCCTTGGCAAGGTTTAAAAATCCCCTTCTGATTTAGGACAGAAGGAGGTTTAGGGATTCAAATGTATACATTTGAATCAATATCAGGGAGAAGCTGATTAGCAGGAGGAAGTATCTAATGGGTGAGAGATCGGTGTGGTGTGCTGATGTTGGGACGTGATGGACGGTGTTAATTTATAGAATTTATCAGCAGGAAGCGATTTCTAATTATGTTGCTTCCTTTTTCCTCAAAATTTGTGACATCATTTTTGGAGGTGCCTAAGATTTTGGATAAGATTTTAGTGCTAAAATGGGCTTTAAGAATAAACCTTCTGGGCCGGGCGCGGTGGCTCAAGCCTGTAATCCCAGCACTTTGGGAGGCCGAGGCGGGTGGATCACGAGGTCGAGAGATCGAGACCATCCTGGTCAACATGGTGAAACCCCGTCTCTACTAAAAATACAAAAAATTAGCTGGGCATGGTGGCACGTGCCTGTAATCTCAGCTACTCAGGAGGCTGAGGCAGGAGAATTGCCTGAACCCAGGAGGCGGAGGTTGCGGTGAGCCGAGATCGCGCCATTGCACTCCAGCCTGGGTAACAAGAGCGAAACTCCGTCTCAAAAAAAAAAAAAAAAAAAAAAAAAAAAAAAAAAGAATAAACCTTCTCAAACACTTTATTCCAGCCATCCTCACTTTACAGGCGATGATCTTCTAGAGACCAACTTGCCCTAAGTCAGTATCTAGTTAATATTAGGACTTGTACCAAATCAGACCCGACTTCCAAACAAGAGCTCTTTTCCCTCGTACCAAGTTACTTCCAATCAGGAAAAAGAGAATGCAACAGAATGATTTTTTATCTTTTATTACTGTATAATAGTAAAATATTCAATTAATCCCTTTGTATATTGCAAGCATGCATGCATTGGTAAGTAGAGATTATTTTCTTAGTTTGAGGTAAATAAAATAGGGATATGAACGTTCCCTGAAAGCTAAAGGAAACAGAAAAGATTTTTTTTTTCACGTCAGATGGATAATGTGCTGACATGATAACAAGATTTGAAGGAGGCATGTCTCACATGTGAGTGTAAAAACTGAATTATCACGCTTGTGAACCACAATGTGGTCAGACAAAATTCTTATTTACAAAACTCCCAGAGTCTTACTTTGTCTTAGGTTATGATGATATTGAATCTATTATTTTCTTAGTTCAATGTAGAAAACACAACAGGTACTCAGATATATTTGTTTAATGAATAAATTAAGTCAAGCATTCGCTGGGGACCTGGTATAAGCCAGACCTACTGAATATTTTCCAGTCCTCAAGATTCACAACTCTTTTCTCACCTCTCTTAAATCCCTTATAAAAGCCTCCAAACTCCTTTATAAAAAGTCCTCTTTGTATATCTATGGCCATATTATTTGCTTAGTTTTCCCATCTGGCATTTTTTAACAACTACATAGTTACATGTTCATCAGCAATTACTACTGTTTGTATGTTCCAGATTCTCTTAGGAAAGTCTTAAAATTATCGGAGAAGTAATAGTTTGTTTTAGGAGTAAAATTTTGTCTACCTGGAGATGAACTTTTGTTTTTTCATTTAAAAATAATCATGGATCTGAAGTATAGTGGGACTAATTTAAATTTTTTTTAATAGAAGATAAATTAATCTCCAGATAGACAGAACCATGTGAGTTACTGGAAATTGAGTATGATAAGCCTAACACTTTAATATCTAACAAAGATAACATATGATGCAGAGAGACAAAAAACTAGGGGCCAAGACACAGTAGTGAAAACGTGGTTAAAAAAAAAAAAAAAAAAAGAGAGAGACCCAGGAAGCTTCAGAAGCCTACTGATGATTATTTCTTACTTTACAATTAGTGGCTCAGAGCATCTTATTCGGGTTGGTTCAAGAGGTTTGTATTCAGTTAAATGAAACCATCTCAAAATACAAAGAAGTAGCTCCACACAATAGAAGAAGAGAAGACATGGAGGAGACAGTTGGCTTTTGTAGTCGATTTTCAAATATTTATAACAATTTCACTGGAAATGGGTTTTCATGAGGACTCACTAGAAACAACGAGATGGAATTTTTAAGGGAGTAGAAATTCACTTTAACTGAGGAAACCAGTTTAATAGCAACCTGGATGTTACTTTTGTGGTGGTTAAGTGAGCTCTCTTCATTTTGGATATACTTAAACAGAAACTTACTGACAGCTTGCTGGGGAAAGGTAAAGCAAGAACAGGTTCATGTGTTATGAATGAGACTGAACTAATAAATCCAACATTTTTCTTCTAATTCTAAGAAATTAGGACTTTCTTCTTGGCATCTGGTTGACCTTTGGGATGACTTCTTGCTGCTATTTGGAATAATAAATGAGAAACAAGATCCGGAATTTGCTATAGGCTAAGTGTTTCAAAGAGTAAATCGTAAACAAATACATCTGATCTTTGCCTTTTTCCTTTATTATGCAATTAATATTACTTCTAGTATCTGTTTTTACAGGCCATAGATCAATAAGAATCTGAAAATACAATGTTCGTATTTTAAAGTATCATAGCAGCATGCCTGGAAAAGTAGTTCCTGGGATCTCTAAAATTTATATTGAGTTGTAAAACTAAAGTATGGGCCACCAGTTAACAACCTTGAATTTTGCCCTTAGAATTAGTCTTAAAAAATCTACTTCATTATGAATACATTATTATTCAGTAGCTTCCTTCTGATTGATATGCCCAGAGCTACCTTTTTCTGCAGTCTTTTAAGCACCGATCTTTCATTTTGGCTCTCAAAATAAGATGGGCTTCTCCTCCCTAGTTGGGACATCAATTTTTACCTGCCAATACAGTTTGATGAGCTTGCTTATGCTCTGTTCACTTCCTCCGCTGAGCCAGAACATGTAGTCAGCAATCATGGCACTCCTAAGAAGGACAGATTTAAAACAGAAACAAATGTATAGAACAGAAGGACAACCATAATAAGCAGTATATACAAATACTGAGGAAGATAATTTTTAATGTCTAAATTTGCCTAGACTAATATTAAGCTAAACATAAAGCACATTTTAGAATGTTGAAACTAGGGTTTCTGGGGGGTGTATGTAGACTAAAACTATAAAGAGAAGCAATAAGCTATTTGTCTTCTAGATGGTTTTAAAAATTTATACAGTATAAGAAATTTGAAGATTATGAGAGAATGTTTTGTTTTGATTGCCCTATATATATATATATATATATATTTTTTTTTTTTTTTTTTTTTTTTTTTTTTTTTTTTTTTTTGAGACGGAGTTTCGCTCTTGTTACCCAGGCTGGAGTGCAATGGCGCGATCTCGGCTCACCCTATATTAAGCTTCAAAGCACTTATAAAGTGACACAGATTTTATGAACTTTTAGGTCTTCAAATCTAGCATAGCATATATAGCTACCTATTAGATTGGTATTTAAGCATATGTCAGACTTGACCTCAGTTAAATATTATTCACTGCTGAGTAAATTAGCCTTCTGAAAACAGAAAATATAAAATCTCCAATTCAAGGAAGAATCCTCTCCCCCAAACTTTGTGTGTAATTGAATTGATTTTAGTGTCTAGTGTGTACAATTGCTGCATTAGTCTTATTAAGTTGAGGGGATATTAAAAACTATTGTGCAATGGATATTAATTCATTACTTAGTACCCTTTGGAAAAACAGTTTACTTTTATGACTGTTTCTCTGTTAGGTCTCTCTATTTCTTTTCACCAGAGATTCCAAATGCAATTAAATGTGACTAGAAGTAATTCCAAATTGTCACGTTAGCCAATTAAACATGTAATAATCCTGTGTACCTAATCACTAGTACCAAAAGTTTATTTATTTAAGCAGAGCTATCACTATGTACCCCTGAATGTTTGTCTTATCTTTGCCTGCAGGTATGTGTAGCTTCTTGACATCACTGTAAATTGAATTAGAAATTTTCTTTTTCTAAATATAAGTTGTCTAAGGTATAGCAACTATAAACATACTCTGCTAAAAGAATTTAAATGTTTAGATTCTTCTTCAGGACAGACAAAACTTAGGACTCTAAAAATCAATGGTGGAAACAAATATCACCAACTGGAGGATTATTCAGCTCATTAAATACATGTGTATATATAGTAGTATTGGAAAGAAGCTGTCCACTGACATTTCAAGATAAACGACAATAATTTAAGAATAGCTAATATTTTAAGAATCCTTTTGTATTTCCCAAAGCTCTTAATGATAAGGTAAAGAGAGGTAGGAGGTTTTGATGTGTAAATATGAATGGGGTAGAAACAAATTATAAGAATCATAGAATGTAGAGGGACAAAAGTGTATTTCAAATGTTTGCATTTTGATAGAAGCACTTGGAAACATTTTCTTTTCATGACAATTTTAAAAGAAAGTTTACTTGACATGGAGGTGCCTGTTATTTAATAGAAATTCATTTAATATATTCTGAATTTAAGAAATTGATAAAAAATATAGAAATTTAATTTTCAAGGACAGCACACCCTGTATTTACAGAAGTTGGGTACACTTAGGTGACGATTTGGTTGGCACTCTGATTCCTTCTATCATTAGCATTTGGATTTAGAAATATGGTTCAACAAACATTGCTTAAGAAGTATGCCAGCCACTAGTTGAACCAAGGGTGGGCAAACTTTTCCTGTAAAGGACCAATAGTAAATATTTTAAGTTTAGTGGGCCATGTGGTCTCACAACTACTCAACTTTGCTTTGCAGAAGCAGCTACAGACAATACACAAACCAATTAGTGTGGCTGTGTTACAATAAGATTTTATTTACAAAAAGGCTATTGGGGTAGTTTAACTCTACAATAAGAAAATTGTCAGGTTGATCAAGCCATGGTGGGCATTTATATAACTGCCAGTCAATAGTTCGATGCATTGTGTACACATTCCAGCCATAGAGCCCCTTAGGTATTTCAATGTGCTATTTTCTCTTCAAGGGACAGCCTAATATATACTAAAATTACTGAGCAGAGTCCAGTGACTAAACTCGACAATTTGAAACATGCAAAAATGTAAAAGATAATTCTTGATTAATTAATAGTAGCTTGAGTCAAGTCAAAGCTAAATTGAAAAGAATTTTTATAATGTTTGTTATTACAATTTTTGGGTTAGGAAAATTGTGAAAGAGTAGGAGGTAGATCACCCCAGTGGGTTTCTAAGGCTTTCCTGAATTTTTAATGCTTTTGGTAAGTTGGTTTTGCGTTTGCCATTGTAAAATTAGGATTTTTAGCATTTTTATTAATGTTTTTGAAACTTGCTTTTTCTGTAATATTATATTGTCACACTGCTTGCTACAGTCTTAAGTACACTTTTTCACCTGGGGGCTCAAGTCTATTTTTAAAGGAACACAGCTCCAAATTAATATTGAAACCATGAAGAATTAAGATGCATTGAAATTCGTTACCTGTCATACCTCAGTGAAGCATAATTATTATAAGAGCAAAAGGATATTAGAATTAAATAACAAAAAATGATTTCCTAAAGCTCCATATTGGCTGAGATATATTTCATAACTATGCTGTAGTTCCTTCAGTACGTGGCGTGTCTTCATAGAGCTGTGTTCATGTTTGGACACAATTTGGATTGTGGTTGCTCCAAGTCCCTCTTCCTTCCCAGTGGAAATGGCAGGTGTGCTTTTACCACTCACCTTCCTTTGTCTGGTTCCCTATTGTAGCCCTGCCCTACTGCTCAGCCCTCATGAATCAGTGAAAATTAGTGAAATGATATGAAAAGTGCATGGGAATTATATTATGTCATGCAATATTTGTGAGGCAAGAGCCATGGGCTTTTCGTCATGCTGAATTTATAAAGGGCAAGATAATTCATTGATCAACCCATTGAGCATCTGTAAGGAGCCAAGTACCATGTGAGATCCTGGTTCCGGCAGACTCATCCCGTGAATCAAATGTGAACAGAAACCCATCATTCTTTCTATTCTCGTTCGGGTATCTCTCTACCATTAGAACAATATCCAGGTGCTAGTCAATGTGATTCAGTGTTGCTTCCAACTGTTTTCATTTCATTGTCAGGATTCTATTCATCTTATTTTCGTTAATGTACTGAATGCTGTACCTGCACTGAAACTATAAGATCACGTTAGTCAAACCCTTTTAACTGACAATCAGTGGCTTCACATGTGCTAATTTCGAGCCTTTCCGACGTGATAAGCACCATGTTAAGCACTTTGTGGAGAGAGTGTAAACCTAACCCACCCACTTCTGCACTAGATCTCATCCAATTGCGCCTACTCATGGAAACTGCTCACCAAGTCTCTCACTATTCCGGTTTTCTTTTCACTCTTTCCCATTTCCCATTTTCTCCTGGAGCTTTTCTGCCAGCATACACACACGCTGTTGTTTCTTCCTTTTAAAACAAAGCAAATACTCCAAAAGCTTGTCTTGCTCCACTGCCTCCATTCCAATGATCACCTGAATTCTTCTTTTCAGTATTAAAAGGCAAACCAAAAAACCTCACACTCCTGAAAAAGCTGTGTGCATTCTCTACTCATGATTTTTCTCTTCCTGTTGTCTCTGTGACTCATTCCAGTAGGGCTCTCATTCTCTCTCTCTCTCTCTCTCTCTCTTTTTTTTTTTTAAAGACAGGGTTTCACCATGTTGGTCAGGCTGGTCTTGAACTCCTGACCTCAGGTGATCCGCCTGCCTTGGCCTCCAAAGTGCTTGGATTACAAGCGTGAGCCACCACGCCCGGCCAGGGCTCTCACACTCACCATGTCACTGAAATTGCTTTTGTCCGTACTACTAATAGTCTCCATATTGCCAAATGTAATGGTTCAATTTCCAAGCTTCATTTTCTATGCATTCTCCTGTGCAAGGCATACACCAGCTCACTGCCTCCTCCAGTGTACCCTCTCCCACTTGGCTTCCACTGTGCCATTATTTCTGGATTTCCTCCTATCTCTCCGGTTGCTCTTTTCAGTCTCCTTTGCTATTAACTTCTCATCTCCCTGGATTCCTAACTTCGGGTGTCTCGGATGCAATGCCTGGACCTTTTTCTTTCTTGGTGAATTCATCAGTTTCATGGTTTTAAATAGCATCTATACATTGACAAGTCTTATGTTTATATCCTGAGGCTAAACCTCTTCCTAGAGCTGCAGAATCTTGTAGAAACTGCCTTTTAGACGTCTCTACTTAGATACCTAATAGGTATGAAATTTAACTTAATCATCTCAGAGACACAAATCTTCCTCACTTCATCTCCCCAACCATTAGTAGTCTCCATCTGTCTAATTTCTCAGACAAAAACCTTGTATTACCATCAGCCCCTCTCTCTCTCATTTCCTCTTCAATGCCAGATAAAATCCTGGTCAGGCTCTCTTTAGCCTACATCAGAATCTTGCCACTTCTCACCACCTCCAGCACTATCATCTGGTCCATAATCCCTCCTCTGGATTATTGCAATGGCCTCCAAACAGGGCTCCCTGCTTCTCCAACCATTGATTCTCAACACAACAGAGTGAGCCCATTAAAATTAGGGTGCTAGAGCAGGTCCCTCTTGTGCTTAAAACTGCAAAGCTTTTTGTCTTTCTCAGAGTAAAAAATAACCTCTTTATAATGGCATTTGAGTCCTGTATCATCTGGTCACAAGCCACCTCTCTGAGCTTGTTTTCACTGCCTTCTCCTTAGCTCACCCTGCTCCAGACAGAGTCCATCCTGCTGTTCCTCACAAAGAATGGCCATACTGTTGCTTCTGGGATTTTGCCCATGACAGTCCTTCTTCTGAAATTCTCTTTCCCTAGATGTTCTTATAATTCCCTTGCTCACCTCCTTTGGTCTTTGTAGGTATCATTTTCACAGTAAGAGCTACCCTGACCAGATTCTGATGCTATCCATATCCTTGCTTGTACTTTTTTCCATGGTACTTATCACCATTCA